GCTCAGCCTGGGCCTCAGCACTGGCTCAGCCTGGGCCTCGGTCTGGGCCTCAGCAGGGGCCTCGGCCTGCGGCCGGCACTGGCGCCGCTGCCGGCTCTCGCTGCCGGCGCCGCCCGGGCCACTCGGCGCTCCCGCTTTGCCCCGCGTCGGGCTGCACCGCGGCGTTAGCTCTGCAGCCCCTGCGAGCTCGAGAGTTCCCGGGACATGGTTTGGCGGGTGGTTGACCTGAACGTGCAGCTGCTGTCCCTGGGCCTCTCGGGTCTTGTGAGGAGCGGAGCCAGCGCCGTTTGTGCCAGTGGATAATTTAACTTGTGCTTTTTTTCTCTCTCTCTCTCTCTCTCTCTCTCAGTGTAGTCTCAGTGCAGAGCCTTTAGATAACCAGCACCGATGTAAAGGCTCTTTGTCCCTTTGCTCAGCAGAGAACAAGGCACTGTAGCTCACACAATTAAATTGGAATAGTTCTTTTGTTTCAATCGTTAAGAATAACCAGGAACTTTGTTTTGAGTTTGTAGAAAATACAGAACATATAGAAAAATGTTTGGTCTGATGGCCTGTAATTCTAGGTGTTTAAATAGTTGTCCTGGAGCTACACCAAGCCTCTGCTGATGCCTTGAGTCTGTTGCCTCTGTTTTCCATGGTAGGTTTTGTACAGTTTTTCATGAAATTCCATATTCTGTGAGCTGAGAAGCTCAYGTACCTTGGACCCCAGATATCAAAAGCCCACCTGAAATTGTGAAATGAACTAACAATGTTGTCAGCCTCTGCTCCAAAGCTGTTCCAGCCTTAAGGTCCATTGGTCTTTCCTTCCCATCGTGCTTAACAAAACCAGCCCAGGCTGTTCTGCCAGGCAGTTTCCTCCACCATATGTAGCGCTCTAATGTACTTATATCCCCAGGTGATGGGGGAGGATGAGCCATACAAACAGGGGACAGGCATTAGTCTCATTATTTAATGCACTGACTTTGTTGTGTTGCAGACAAAAATAAATAGAAGAGGTATTTGTCAAGAATCTACGTTCTTGCTCATCCTTGCAAGTAATGAGGTTCCCAGCAAGGGTTCGCGTAACCACAGGTCTCATCTGCTCCTAGTCTGAGCGAGAAGCAACTTCCAGAAAGCTTCAAAGGAAGAGGAGAAGATGAAGGATTGCTGTAATGCTGTGTGCACATTTCATTTCAAAACAGCCTTTATTTATTTTTTATTTTCTGTTAATATGTAGGAGCACGTTGCAGAGCAGCTGCTGCTAGAGTTTCCTGGGCGTTTGTTTTCAAGGCTGTGATGTTGGGTATAACGAGATGCTGAGCCCTTCCCCACAACCTCTTCTCTTTGCTTCGTGCTGTGTATGTGCCAGGTCCTGGGTCATCCATGCATCCCGGTTCATCCGTGCATCCGTGTTTGCAATTCCGGGTGTTGCAGGGCTCGGTGGGGCGGCCGCTGCGCACAGCCCGGGCTGGCGCTGGGGCAGAGCTGTGGGGCCTGGTCCCACGGAGCTGCAGGGGGCAGGGGCTGCAGCCCCCGGGCAGAGGGTGCCATCCCCCTGTGCCCCCGGGCAGAGTGGAGCAGGGTTTGGTGCGAGGTCAGCRGGCAAGCTCAGATACTGCAGGGTAGTTCCAGTCTCTGCAGATGAATCAGTCCCTGGAGGARGAAAAAACAATGTTTGTATGATATAAATAGGCCTAGCTACACTGAGTCAACCGAACCATATACATAATGATGCACTAAAGAAAGCCACGGTCATGTTTGTTTCAGTGGGTAATTGCTTTTAATGCTGCCCCTCGGGCAGGGATTTCTGGCTTGTTCCAGGTAATGTGGCCAGGGGYGGGATGCCCCCCAGCGCCAGCTCGTGCGCTGGGATGG